TAAAAAAATAGACAATCAGTATCAATTAAAGAACTTAGTGGTAGGATTGAACGTCTATTAGAAGATTTTTGGACTACAGAGAATGATGATAGTAACACCAAAAATGTTGATTTTGATATTGAATCAGATGATGAACTAAATGATGATGTTTCTGGTGATCTTTATAATGATAGTGATGATGAAGATCTGAATTTGAATAGTACTTCCCACATTATGAATGATATGTCGTCATCTAACACACCTGGTATTAGATTATTTGATATTGTCAAAGAAGAATTAGCTCATAATTATTTTCACATTACTATTAATGGCAAGAAAAAATATNGGAAGCCATATCATCAGCTAGTCCCGATGGATATCACAACACTCACCCAACTAGTTTTTATCTTCCGATGAATAATATTCTCCCAATTCATCTTCAGCTTTTTATAACAGAATAATGCAATTTTCCATCATTTTCATTAAAATTCGAAGGTTTCCAAATGCAAATTGAATGTTCTTACTTTAAATTACAATTCATTGAAATCACGACCCATCTGATGAGTCTTCTTGAGCAGAAGATGAAACTAGTCATGGTAGCTCTACCCACACCCTCACACACCCTCACACCCACACCCACACCCACACCCATACCCACACCCACACCCTCACCCACCCTCACACACCCTAGCCACACCCACACCCTCACACCCTCGCCCTCACACCACTCCCTCACCCTCACCCTCACCCTCACCCACCCCACACCCACACCCCCACCCCTCACCCCCACCTGGTATTAGATTATTTGATATTGTCAAAGAAGAATTAGCTCATAATTATTTTCACATTACTATTAATGGCAAGAAAAAATATTTACACAAGCAAGATGCTTGCTGGTATTTGCAGGATGATAAATGTTCTTTATCATCAGACAGTTCATTACGTGTTCAAGATCAATAATAGTTAGTAATTTGATTTTTTTGTGAATAATATGTTGTGGTAATATCATGTTTCTAATTTCATTTTTTTAAATCATTTCCGCGATAAAACTCATATTCTCAGATCATTTGTTCAATTATAATAAAGTGAACATATCCGAAACGTATTCTTCTATGATATGAGAAACTACCAAAAGTTTTAACGAAGATCGTGAATAATATGCAATAAATGGAAATCACTAGAAATCATCAAAATAAAATTAGAAATCTCGAAATCAGAAATCAGTTTGTTCCCCCTTGTTTCAATGTAGATGTAAGATCACTCTTTTTCCAATATAGAAAAATTACTTAACTTAGCTTAGTCAATCTATATTCTATTTGACACAACATCTTGTCGAATAATGAACACCATCGAATTCGATTTTACAACGAAATTTTCAAAAGTTCATCTATTTAGAAATCAGAAGACATTCGATGATTATGAATAGTATTTATTCGAACTGGACAATGACAAATTATTGCATTACATAAATAATGATGATAAATATTTTTCGAAAAGTTTTATTCATTTGTTAATAGAATTTCTTTCAAAGTTACATTTGTGCTCCAGGAGATCGAGAAGTATGTAGAATATTTTATTGTGTTTCTGGTTGCACTCGATTACTTGCTCGTTGACATGTAAAACGATGAAATACTTGACAAAGTTGATTACGAAATCGTTTCGATGCAATACAATAACAATAGAAAGGAGTCTACAATTAAGAAGAAAACTTATCTAAATAAATTCTTATTGTATATATTTACCGCATATAGTCCATAGACATAAACACTGAAAAATGCTGTAACTAATCTTTCTTGAGCTTGTCGATAAGAATCTTTAACAACATTTGTCGTAGCTAGGAAATAGATTGATGCACATCCAAATGGACCTTGAAATAACAATACGTTAACAATTTGACATAAAGCCATTTTTGTAAATTGTTTTGTCACTGCAGAAAATGAATGAGAATCATTTCCAAGTTGATTTATAAAATGTCGATAACTATAAAACCCAAAGATACTAATAATTGAAATAGGAATAGTGATAGTTGTTACAGGAACTATAAAATAACTACGATACGATGCATAGATGGAACTTGTCATTACACATGATGGTATACCATTGACAATAACAATATCTTGTAAAATAAATGTTGTTATTTCATGCATTGACCAAAATAATCCAATAATCAATAGTAATAATCGTGCACGTTTAATATTACTTCGTTGTCGTAAATTAACGGATCGTGAAGTACAAAGAAAAGTATCAACAGATTGTAGACAAATAATTGTAGATAAACTGAGACCAAGAAAATTAAGTAATGATATTCGAAATTTACACCAGATACGATTCATTTGTTGCAAATCTATTTGAAAACCTAAAATTAAAATTCTTGGTCCAATACCAATAATAACATCAAGTAAATTGAGAATTGATCCAATAAACATATAAAGAGAACAAGGATTTTGTTTATAATTACCAACCGATAGAAATACAATTATATTCAGAAAATTACCGATAATTCCACAAAGGAATAAAGCAAAACCCAACGTAAGACCCAAATATTGAGAAATATATTGAGATTGAATAATAAAATCTGCAGTACCACTAGTATTTGAAGACATTATGAATTCTTGATGTATTTAATATATTCAAATGATGATAGTATCTTTATTTTCATTAATATTATATCATAGAAATAAGAAACGGATGCTCTTCTTTATTATTGCATTTAATTAAATTCTTATTCTTTCGAGATAGTGTGACATTCGTTTTGTATAAATGATCACAAAATTTAATATTTTAGAATCAAGAAAAAATGTTTTATTTAAATACTTCTAACAAATTATCTTTTTGATTACTAATATAGATCTGCAAGTGAAAAACGAATGACGTTAATCTGACGTCAATATTTTCATTTATTGCTTGAAATATCTCGAGAGTATAATAAAGATCATTAAGGTAAAATAAAATTACGTCTTATGATGTTTTATTACAGTGTGACCTTGTCTTTAGATTTATTAGATTTTATTCTAACAAAAAACAAATGACGCAGTCATTGCATAAATATGATAATCATGTATACTTTGGTAATTAACATCTATCTATCTGAGGGCTGGACCATTTCCCTACTTCAAGGGGAATCGGTCCCACGTGCAGGAGAAACTGTCAAACCTCAAAATTTACAGCAGAAACTCTTTTTAATACCAAAAATTCTTTCAATTTAAATTAACATACATGAATATATATAATACGGGCAATAGTTATTTTTTCAGCAGAAATAGTCCACAAAAGCAGGTGAAATGCTTTATCAGCTTCTTCTAGAAAAGAAATAAATGGATGAAATTTAGAGAGAAATAGATAGTTGGTTTTTGTCTATGAAAAAATGTTTCAAGAGATTGAGATTTTTTTGTAAGAGAGATGATTGAAAAATTAAATGAAACGTATAATTCGTTGCTCTGGTAATAGAAAAAAACCAGGAAGACTCAAAGAGATATTGAGATCCTAGCATTAATTATTATCTACTATGCAGTAGAGTTTGAACTGAAAATTAATAAAATGTTTTATTATCGTGGAATAAAAGATTTATTATCCTTCTGTGTCTCAAATAAACGAGAGTGGAGAAAGACTAGAGATATGATTTGAATGAAAGTTTTTAAGAGAGAGTCCGCCATAGGGGACCCCAACGACGTCGCGGAAAATATTTTTTTCTCGATTTTATTTTTTAAAATGAAAGGTCTCATTGAACTATAGTTAAATCCAAAATATCAGATCATTTGAACTTACCTATGAAAAATGCGAGCAAAAACACTTTGAATCGGTCATTTTTTATACTCAAAAATTGATGAAACATAATGCACTCAGTATTTTAGCGATAACTCACGATTTCATTGACCGTTTTAGACCGGGGACGTCTCATTTGTGAGAGAACCATATAGGACATAAACCTAATTAATCAGAGTCTTTTATAAATACAGTTTTGGAAATGCTGTAGGCCAGGGATCTTCAAGAACTCTCAATCTGGTATACTCCAAATTATCAGTGTTTTCGACTTCTCTCGTGTTGTGATAACGAAGCCACGCTGAATTTTTTACTAGAGATACATGACATGGAGACGCATCTTTCCTTATAAGACCATCCCAGTCAGAAATACTCGGAGTGCGACTTAGTATGAGTGACATTATAACTGACCGATAAAATCAGGGTCCGAAAAACTCCCATACGATATAAAAAAATATTTCAAATACCGAAATAGACTTCAGATTCGGAATCAGCACGCAAAACTACACTAGAAAATGTATTCTAAAATATTATCTTTCATGAATTCGAGAAGATAAAAATGTTGGGTCCCCCTCTAAGACTAAACAATGAACGAAGGAGAGAGATTTAAAGAAATGGCGATGAATCGTGCCGCCTATGAACGGTAACTTAGTGTCAAGTAAGGATGAACCAAATGCACTGTGAAATCACATATTTTCAAAAGTTCAAACGCCGTTAATTGTGTCGATAGGTCCTGTCCGATCATTGAGAACCCCCAGACCATGACATTTTGAGCCCGTATCATACATCTACCATTCGAAATAATCCAGACTAAAGCAAAACTAACATCAGATTCGAGATCAGGATTAAAAACTGAGTCAAACTATATAATTTCAGCCGATTTTAAACACTTCAGATTTTTCATCAAAAACCTACCCTGTACTTCCCCTCAGGATACCTAAAAAACCGAAAGTTGGAAATTTAATACGTGGATTATAGAATTAGAATGCGGATACTTCCACAATATATATAGAACCAAAACCAAACGTGAAAAACTAATCTAAAGGGGTTTTTGATAAGTTTTCGTTTTTGAGCCCATCCTGGAGGGGAGTACAGGCCATATATTTCATGGAAAAATGAAATATCTCAAAAATCATTGAAATAAATAGGAATCGATATATTTTTCGGCGCTGATTCCGAATCTGATACTTTGGTATGTAAAAATTCAAATATTATTACCGATGTCAGATAAAGAAGGGATCCAATTGCTGGGGATTCTCGGTTGTGTTCATTAGGTTCACCTTTCCGCCTTATTATAATACTCTTTGAAGCTTGAAGAGTATGTGATTTTAAAGCTAGTCACGTAGTCTCTCTCATGAGAAAAAGTCCAGATCAATATATTTCTTCATTTGAGAATTGTAAGTCAGTGTAAGTGTAGCGCACTAATATTTTGGTCATAGGGGAGCCCCAAAATTTTTATCTTCTCGAATTCATGAAAGATAATATTTTAGAATACATTTTCTAGTGTAGTTTTGCGTGCTGATTCCGAATCTGAAGTCTATTTCGGTATTTGAAATATTTTTTAATATCGTATGGGAGTTTTTCGGACCCTGATTTTATCGGTCAGTTATAATGTCACTCATACTAAGTCGCACTCCGAGTATTTCTGACTGGGATGGTCTTATAAGGAAAGATGCGTCTCCATGTCATGTATCTCTAGTAAAAAATTCAGCGTGGCTTCGTTATCACAACACGAGAGAAGTCGAAAACACTGATAATTTGGAGTATACCAGATTGAGAGTTCTTGAAGATCCCTGGCCTACAGCATTTCCAAAACTGTATTTATAAAAGACTCTGATTAATTAGGTTTATGTCCTATATGGTTCTCTCACAAATGAGACGTCCCCGGTCTAAAACGGTCAATGAAATCGTGAGTTATCGCTAAAATACTGAGTGCATTATGTTTCATCAATTTTTGAGTATAAAAAATGACCGATTCAAAGTGTTTTTGCTCGCATTTTTCATAGGTAAGTTCAAATGATCTGATATTTTGGATTTAACTATAGTTCAATGAGACCTTTCATTTTAAAAAATAAAATCGAGAAAAAAATATTTTCCGCGACGCAATATGCATCGAGTAGGGATCTCCTCTCACGGACTCTCTCTTAAATTCACTCAAAGAAATACTATTTATGTTTTATTTGTAGATAGAATTTAATAATTATTATGAAGACTTTCATATAACAAAATAACACATTGTTGATTTATATAATTGTAATATGGCATAATAATTTAAGAGATAAAAAGAATTATAAGAAGAAATAAAATACAAACAATACATATCATCAAATGCATTACATTTACAATTATATTTCTATAAAAAGTTAAATCAGTAAATTATAAGATAAAAGAAATAATCAATATAATGAAAGTGCATATCTTATCATGAAACAACAAGGAGAATTAACACAAAGAGAGTCTTTTGATTACTCTATTCACGAGTAGACTAGTAATTAATGATAATTTTGAGAAGAATTCGACTATTTTTTAATAGATTCTTTTCATTTTCGAACTTTTTTCAAATATTGATGAAACAAATATGACTATACAAAATATAAATAGAAATGAAAGATATATCGATATTGTATAATTTGTCACATCCTATCACACATAATATCTTATTCGTAATTGTTTTTTCTAATTATTATATTTAAAAAATTGAAGTTCTTCTAACATATTGATTTTAATTAATCTTCTTTTATCAATTAAATTTTAGATATTTTTCATAGATATGATCTTTAATATTAGAATATATATATATATATTATTAATTGTATCCGAAACTTTGACATAGTTCTCAGAAAAAGTTCATGATTTTTTTGTTTCTGTCAATATGAACTTTGTTGAAGAAATAAATTATTTAAATATTTCTAAGACTATCCTTTACAATCATGTCGAGACGAATCATTAATGGTATGTAAGTTCATTATGTTTGACATTTTAATCCTTTTAAGAATATAAAATATAGGAGACTTTTTTTTCCGAGATACGTTTATTCAAGAAGAAAATTAAAATTCAATGTTTAGATATGAATTTTGAATTATTATGTCTGAATAGGTGATACATTAACTTGTTCAATAGTTTGTGGAACTTTTCGACGAATTATAGTTGATTGTATTACATGAACTCGTCGTTGTTCTTGCTGACAAAATAATAATTTTTGTTTTATTTTCTCTCGTAATTCTGGTAATGATAAACAAGTAACAAATGGAAAGAAAAAAGTAATATTATACCAAAGAAATTTCGCATAAACCATTCCATATACAGCAATACTTGCTGGTAAACCAAATTGATAAGCTAAAATGATTCCAACCCATGGTATATTAAATAATAAATAAATAATTGATATAGATACTAATTGAATAACCATCTTACGTTGTTTTTTCCAATCAATTATTCGATGTGTACGAGCTTTTTGCCATTGTACACGAAGAATAAGAATTAAACTTGATATTAATATAGTTAATGTTGGAATTAATTGATGAGCTATAAGATCCCATGTTCCTAATGATGTTCGCGTAAATGCACATGGAGCATAAAGACCTCCATTAAGAAAAGCATCAAATGTTCCATCACAAGGTAAAATAAAATAAACTATTATATGATAAATTAAAGAATAAATTATTAGAAATAATATTGGAAAATAATGAAAGAAAAAACGTTTTTTATTTGTATTTAACCATCGATCATAAAATATAAGAATATGCCGTTCAATTGTTCCCCAACTAAATAATCCAATTTGTAATGAATAAAGAAAATATTCAAAAAAAGCCCAAAATAAATAGAATTCATATGGTGCTTGCCATGGTGTTAATGTTGCATCATTACGAATAAACCATGGAACAGTACATGTTTCATCAATTAAACAAATCAAAAGAAGAACAATAAATATATGATTATGTAATGCACGTCGAAATGTACGATTAAATAATAAAAAATAAAGATTAAATAAAGTACAACTTAATGATAAAATATCCCAACATATAAAATACCAAAAACGCACAGATTGAGGTACTCGAATAATTCCCGCAGAATTTAAAGAATCACTTAATGTACTATTGACAATATTTGACATTATTTCTATGATTCTCTCAATGATTTTATGTAAAATATTTTTTGTTTACGTTTAAAATCAAAAGTATAATATATAAGAAAAATAATTCATTTATATTTATCTTCATATTTTCTCTTCTTTTTTTTTTAAATCCACATATCATTAATATAAAAGTTTGCGAAGAATGTAAAATACTAGGTTGTGGAAAAAGTTCGTGCGCCGTGTTATAATATTAATAATAGTAACGCGGTGCACAAACTTTTTCCTCAATCTGGTATACCATGTTGTAGAGCTTTTTGAGGCGCATCGAACGGTATATGATAACTCTTGTTTTCATAAGACTTTGAAGGGACTAGAGTCAATTTGCTAATAGGCGACTATACACCCACATCCACACTCGCTCACACTTACATCCACAAGATGGTCAGAGATGCTACGTGTATGAAACTGCAGTCCGTCAAAAACTATACAAAATCGTATGTGAGGAAAAGTGTTTTACAAATACTTTCAGCTAATAGTAGACATCACAATATTCCGTAACTAATCATGTTTTAGTGTGGAGGTGGATGTGGGTGTATAGTCGTCTATTAGCAAATTGACTCTAGTTCCTTCAAAGTCTTACGAAAACAAGAGTTATCATATACCGTTCGATGCGCCTCAAAAAGCTCTACAACATGGTATACCAGATTGAGGAAAAAGTTTGTGCACCGCGTTACTATTATTAATATTATAACACGGCGCACGAACTTTTTCCACAACCTAATAATAGCGCCAATAAGAAAATTTCTAGGAAAACTAAAGAAAAGAAGACAGAATGAGATGCCATGAATATATATTTACTAGTCATATTTTTTCTTTTTTATCTTTTCTAATCTTTTCCCTAAGGATATGTCAAATAAGACAATGGCGGGTCTAGGATTTTCGAAGAAAGGGGCGATCGCTCCCATCGTCTCCTCTAAATCCGTCATTGAAATAAGGATTTATATAACAAAAAAAAACAAGAACAATAGAATTAATAATAATAATCATTATAAAAGAAAAGAAGAGTTTAATTCTTTTAGTTATTCAAATGATTTAATCTGATTTGTAGATCCGACGGATACTTATCGAATTCACCAGTAGATTATCACGCTTTTGGAGAGTAACAGTGTGAATGTACTGTCGGAGTCAATTGAAATCCCCCCGTTTAGTATTTGTTGGTTTTGATGATTATAATTGGTTTGTTTTTTAATCTCCTATATATGATTAGAAAGCCCGGAACTTACTTCATCTTTTAGTATATTTATATTGGATAACAAATACTATTTAAAGTATGAAAAATCTATTAGAAAAAAACAAATCATATTTTATTTACTACAAGGTGTTCATAGTACTGTAATCTTCAGTTAGGTAAATGATAAAGTCTTGGGTTTTTTCCAAAAGATTCGCCCTGAGAAGGTCTATAAAATCAAAATGGTTTCAATCTATTTTAGTTCTACTGATCGTTTTCCAATAGTTAAAATAGATAGCCAAAATGAGTATTACTTTTCATTATTTTAGAACTGTTTTTGTTTTCTTTCTATATCTCTAGTCGAGAACACGATGGAACATTGAATTTCATTTAAAAACATGTGCCGCTAAAATTCTTACAAAATCTCTACGGAATCATTTCTTTAGCCAATCAACAAAGTTTTCTAAACGTTTCCAATATGATAAGAGATGAAATTATCCTGTAAATTGTTTATTTTGAGTATAAGAAAACTATTTAAACAAATTATAATGAAATTGTATTATGCCGCATTTATAGAGCTTTTTACGGCGCATCGTCTGGAAAAATATCCAAGACTTTATCATTTACCTAAGCCGAGATACATCCAAAACAAAAACTACTACGCTATTACAAACATTCGATTTGTAGTAAAAAGAAATTTTACTTTTTCTTATTGTGAATTTTTTATAGTTCAAACTGGATTTGTTATGAAAACTAAATATACCAGAAGATGCAGCGTGTTTCAGACTTTCTTTATATATAAAATAAATCAACTATACGTGCAAAAAGGAACAAAAACAATAGGGGGGAAAATATTTGGCCCCTACAGTATGACAATCATTACAAAAGTGTGTTAGTATGTAAAATAATATTGAAAATGCGCCAACAAAGTTTGAGGATGCTTCCTATTCCATAAAGTACCACATTCCTGCATTTCGTGCAATTGCATATTTACTTAGCTTAAACCGATCCCATACGTCTAACGAATTGCACATAAAAGTACTGCAATTGCATATCAAGTTTGAATAAAAAAAAGACCATCGTCGAGATTTAAAGAATTGCACACGGAATTCCTGCATTTCATGCAATTCTTGCACATTCCTGCAATTGCATATATAGCCATAATAAATAAACGACCATTGTCGAGACTTATATGCAATTGCAGGAATGTGCAAGAATTGCATGAAATGCAGGAATTTCGGATGCAGTTAAGAGATGTTCGGGTTGATTCTGTCCTAGCTAAAAGTGCAATTGCACGAAATGCAGGAATGTGGTACTTTTGGGAATAGGATGACTGCTCCAAAGTTTGAGGAAATGTTTAAAAAGGGTACTAATTAAATGATCAGTTTTTTAATATGAATGATCAGTAAAATTTGATCAGTATTTTATTGTAAATGATCAGTAAATAATTTGAACTGTCAGTAGAATAATTAATGATCAGTTACTTTTGTATTTGATCAGTAGTTTAGTCATTTGATCAGTAAAAGAATAAATTTATCAGTACTTAAATTAAAATATCAGTAATTAATTATGTCTGGTCAATAAATTATCGTGTTTATGTCAGTTTTCGTCGTTCTATAAAATCCCTCGATATCATATATGTTGGCCTACTTATTGTCTTTGTTTCTGTTTGACCTACTTTGTAAATACTATGTCGATATATATCACATCTATTTGATATCTTACTGTAATAGATGAACAAATAATCATCGGCAATCGTTATTTCAGTTTAACAAAGAACTAGATTATCTATATCTTCCCTAGATCCTTTCTTTACTAGTCCTTATATAAGAGATTTATTTTATGAATTATACTACGTAGAACTTTGATTTCGTAAACATTGTAACTGATTAAATTTGAAATGGCAACAGCAATGGATATTACCGAAGTACCACTTTATGCTTCTGATGAAGAAGAAGAAGATATGAATAAAAGTGTTCATGCCAAATATGAACGAGCAAAGAGAAAACAACATAAATGGATAAAAGAGATGGTATTTAACAATGTTAGTGAAGCTGATCAAGCTATACTTAATGAAGGTGTATGGAGTGAATATTATACGAATACAAGAGCTGATGGGAAAAAAAAAGATTTTTAGATGTAACAAAGTGAAACGTCGTGGAAAACAATGTGATTCAAGCATTTATTTGTTATTCAACTCGATTAATGAAGAAGTTATTTTATTTCGAAATACATCTTATCATACTCATGATCTTGTCGAACAAAAATGTACAAGAATCCCATCTGATGTCAAAACGCTTATCAAAGAACTTCATGAATTAAAACTGAAACCTAAAGCTATAATTGATGAACTATATGAACGTGGAATTATTGCGCCACGTATTAGTCAATTGAGAAATTATTTAAGAACATTAACGACAGAAAAATATGGTTCAAGATCAATAAGTCTTGGCGAAATTGAAGAATGGTGCATTGAATCGAGCAGATTGATTCCGGAATCAGATGATGAAGCTTTTGTTGTATCTTATGAAATTGTTTATGATGATAGCGGTGATGATACTGCAAATGATGATGATGATGATGATGATTAGGGGTCTACATAGTTCAGCTCAAGTTCAGAACCGCTCACTTTCGAACAGTTCAGCTTAAAAGAACTGAACTGTTTGACAAGTTCAGCTCGTTCATAATGAACGATTGAGCAGTTCTAAAGTTCATTTAAGTCGGTTCATGAACTTAATTTTGCGTATGGTACTAAGATTATCTTTCAATTATAAGACTTCGAGTGACTGATCAGTTCGTTGAAAAGAACTGTTCGAACAGTTCAGCTCTTGTGAACTGAACTGCTTGAAAAGTTCAGTCGCTCAAAGTTCACAATTTGAACGGTTCAAAAGTTCTTTTGAGTCGGTTCCTGAGCTGAATTGTGTGTACCCCTAATGATGATGTCGATGGTAGTAAATTTCGTTTTTTTGTTTCAACAAAAAGACTTTTACATATTGCTGCTAAATCGACAAAAATTCATGCAGACGCTACATACAAGTTAGTATGGCAAGGCTTTCCTGTCCTTATTGTTGGTACAAGTGATCTAGATCAACAATTTCATTCATTTGGAATTGCAGTTTGTTCTGATGAGAAGACAAAAGACTTCACATTTGTTTTTCGTGCTGTTCAAGATGGTGTAAAGAAGCTTTATTTGCAAGAAATTAATCCAGGTATTTTAATGGCTGACGGTTCAGGTGCAATTCGTAACGGTTTTAAAGAAGTTTTTGGTGAAAAACCTATAGTAATGTGCTGGGCTCATATGCGTCGAAAGGTGGTGAAGAAGATCGAGTCTATGGTAACCAAGATCGACCAAGAAGATTTGATACAAGATATTGATGTATTACAACTAGCACAAAGTGATCGAATATTTGCCAAAGCTTCTAACCTTTTTATAAAGAAATGGAATAAAAAACAACCAACTTTTATTGAATATTTTGAAAACGAATGGTTAACATTACACCGTGGTTGGTATGAAGGCATTCAACATTTAACACCAAGTACAAATAATGGTTTGGAATCTAGTAATAGAGTTATAAAAGACGAAAATACATTTAGAGAACGTCTTCCATTATCTAGATTTAAAATTTTAACATTTGAAATTGTTGAAAAATGGTCCAAATCCTATGAACGAAATTTAAAACTATTTCATGATAAACAAACGGTAACATTAGACATATGGACCAACAGTTATCAATGGGTAAAATTAAACAAATCAATTGTATCAAAAAAATTAGATGATGCAATCGAATTTCATGTTCCTGCTGGAAATGAATTAAGTATTTCAAAAAATAGTATTGAGATAATAAAAAAAATGAAATGGTATTCATTTGATCAATACAAAATTAAAGCATTTAGTATTTGGAATGTTACATTACCAATGGATGAAACAAAATGGATGGATGGTCAATGTAATTGCCCAGGATTCTTCAAAAAGTTTATATGTAAACATGTCGTTGGGTTGGCCATTAGACTGAATTATTGTAAACCACCACCTGCTGCTAAAAACATACGTATTGGAGAAAAAAGACGTCGAGGTCGACCCTCGAAAGCTACAAAAGCATTGCTTATTCAATAGTTTTTTGTTACTTAAAATTGTAAATTTTTACTGATATAAATAAAAAAATTACTGATCAAAAAAAGATTATATACTGATCAAAATTGATATATATACTGATCATAATTACTGACATTTGACATTATTTACTGACCAAAAAACATTTATTTACTGATCAAAAACTACTGATCATTTCGTAAAAAAATTACTGATCGTTTAGATTAAAAAACTGATCATTTAATTAGTACCCGTTTAAAAACAATCAAAATCTTCAAAGTATTTTTAGTCTTTTTTTAAAATCATACAAATGCATTCAATTAACTGTTTAAATCAATTATATTTTTTATAATGGTCCTTTATATATAATAGAAGATAAAAATAATATTAAAAACCTTTTTCAAAAAAGTTAAATTAGCTATAAATGCATTTGTTATTATTAAATTTATTTCTTTTGAAAATATCCAATAAATCAAGTGTAAAAATTCAAAAAAAGTGTCTGCTGATAAAAAAAGATATGTAGATCAGTTGATTAGCATGTGATATTCAGATTAATTATATTCATTTATCTAGTTATATTGTTATAAATTCACTATGAACTCTTTAAATGAGACATAATATTATTTCAACTGTCGATATTGATTTAATTTATAAATTAAAATTTTAGATAATATAAACATATAAATAAAGATATTTCAAATGTTAAAAAGAAAAGAAATTTGAATCAATAACAATAATTATATATGGTATTGATCAATAATATTTGATATTTACATAAAATTAAATTAAAAGTAGCCTTGAATTAGCTGTTCGAGAAGAAAAGTATCTTGTCAATTTATACTCTTATGATTATCATGAAAGAAACGGGTTAAGACGCTTTTAATTGTTTTTTTTAGAAAAAAAAGTATTTTCTTCGTATATATTTTCAACTTAGGTCATCATGATCAACTTTTCTACAGTCCATTGTCTAGAGTATTTATTTAACTTTTAGATTGTGCGAAGAGTTAGACTATAACATTAGATATTTGTTAAGAAATTTATCTATTAGTTAGATTTATATTATAGGGAAAGAATTTTTGTAAAAATTGATTTCAAAGGAAATGAAATAATATCAAATTCAAGAACACACCGACTTTTTAAAATGAAAATCAATGAAAGAAAAATCTTTCTAAAAATGGTAATTAAAAAAATTGATGAAGAATTTTCCGGCACTTTTTCGATGGAAATTTAATGTATCTAATTTTTTTTGCGTTTTTATATGACACATACTTCATGACCTAAATGTACATCAATGATCAAGAGTGTAGTGCTCTATGTTACTTTATATGAGACAACAACCGTGCGTCCTCGGACACAGTTGAAAAACTTATAGATTATACATCAGTTTTTAAACATTTCTCGCATTAAAATTTTTCTAATACATTGGGATATCAACGTTTTTCATTAATATCAGTTGATTAAGTGATCTAGCAGTACAATTCAACTAGTTGTTAACCTCATTACAGCAGAATGCTGTGCTTTGCGAGCGTGAGAATTTTACCATAAGTAATAAGAGTAAGGATCATCGTAACACAGCAGTTTTCAAACTCTTCCACGTGCACCATCGTTACTTCAATAATGTAAGTTGAATTATTGATCAACTCACGTACAGCCTGTCCCTAGCTATTTTTACGAAACTGTATAAGGCTTTTCGAGCAATATCTCGAAGAACGATGGAAACACCCTTACACAAAGTCTATGTAAAAAACGGTAATTTTTTTGCAATCCATTGTACATAAGGTTGGGCTACTGCAAAACTCGAGCAAATTTTTTTTAGTGAATTTTTTTATGGAATCCGATGCAGTTTGATGCGCTGCATCCGAATATGTATGATTTATTCAGATAAAGAGTTTTCTTCCCGCTGAAAATCGAAAAATATTGCAAAAATCGAGGGGATTCAAAAAAACAGGTTTTCTGCCAGGATTTTCACGATAGGGCTTCGAAAAAATTTACTATAGCTTTGAAAGTTTTTTATTCTGATTCAGCATTAAAAAATGATTCTAGGACACTACTTTTTGATTGCTCAGTGCATATCCTTATCATTAAAGAAATTGATTTCTGTTCACAAATCGACTGGTCGAGTGAGTCTCATTAAAAATGCATCAGCTCATTTTCTATTTAAGATAGACACTTTTTTCTTTCACCGTTCCACTCCTTAGATGCCCTAGATATAATCTACGTATTACCTTTCCTTAACTCACTTTCTTTCTCAAAATTTCCTGGCCCTTTTTTCATCTTTCCTATCGTACATACAATTTATTATTCATAACAGCATTTTTCACTTGTATTCTTTTTTCTAACCCAATTACGTCTTCAAAATCTGAAAGATCCTTGTTGTTATGGTGCAGAGGCGCTATCTAAGTACTTTTAAGTTATTTTATCGTGTAGGTGAAATTACGTGGGCTGTGGGTGGATGCGGTGTCCATGTGTCTCAACTTTGTGAAAACATGGATATGTCGTAGACATCCTCAACCGTTGATACGGCCGCTCTCAGCCACGTTTTCATACTGAATATGGCTTTCGCAAGCCTCAGACACATTCACACCGTCGTCCACCCCCACTCAGACTAATGTGAGGCATGTATACATAGGTTTAAAAATGTTTAAATAG